ATAAGCAAGTGTTACATTTTCTATCAGACTGTTGCGTTGTTAACTAAGCGAGAGGTAATACTTTATTACAAAAATAAAAGTATTGCTGGTTAAAATATGACTAGTTCTTCATTAGTAATTTCTTTTTAAAAACGTCGAAAATAACTAGGCTATTTTTTAATAGATGTAGACACTTTTTCTTTTTTTGCACCAGTGCATTGAAACATTTCTCATTTCTAGTAGTTTTATTTCAAGTCTTGGAACACGTGCATTCAATTCTCATTACAAACTTCGAGCATATCGTACTTCAACCAGGGAGTTTACCAACTCCGTCCCGACTCCATCGATTCTCCCTGGCGGCCGGCGAAGACGACGCAGGCAGGTGTATCGCTCTGCAGCCGGAGTTAAGACGTTTAGGAACAGGTTCTCTCGAACTCTCGGCGCCAACTTCTGAAGACCACAGCGCCCTGAGGGCTTTACTCGCGCTATCAGCGCGCGCGCTCCGCCCGATAACCCTTTCCCCAGCGCCCTCTCTCCTCGCCAGCGCCCCGCTGCTGGCGTCTCCTGCGTCGAAACCGCCGTCACTGCCACGCACCGCCCGCCACTGCCGCCGCCATCGCCTCCTCTTATCGTTGGGTGGTTGATCATCATTGCCATTACAGATATTTCTACCTTTTCATCATCCTCGAAACCAAACTGATAGTGATCATCGTTATGGTTATCATTTACAAGAAATCCATCTCAGATTTACCTATTTGCTAACACGTTTTTGTTGCTTTCACCTAAGTCACCGCATGCCACTACCTCCTCCCTTGCCTCCACACTTGTCGTCACTATCTCCTCCTCCTCCTCCTCCTCCACCTTGATTACCAACAACACATTTGCCGCCGCCACTACCACCTCCATAGCTTCAATCTGGGCACCCTGTTTGCCAACGTCTTCTTCTGCTTCTTCTCCTTCTTTCGCTGGCGTCGTCGTCGTCGTCGTCGTCGTGTGCGCTGCCTCGCGCTGTAAGCGGCTTCATCCCTGGCGCTGTGCGGCGCGGCCATCAGCGCAGGCATCGAGCCGCGCCGCGCGTTTGTTTACACCCCGCGCCAGCAGACATCCAGCGCTGTTTGGCGGCCTGATATCTGACGCGATAGCAAACACATCTCGCCTGATGCCCGCCCGCGTCGTCTCGGCGATGTTCGCGCGCTGAGCCGCGCGTGTGTGTTTTGCTAGTTTTACGGGATCCAGGTTACCTCCTCGTGGGCTGCTCGTATACACGAACGTTTTATAAGAAGTGAAGGAAATATTTAGTGGCAGAAGGCCGGTGATTTTTCACGGATTTTCATTTTGAACTAGACACAAACATATAATATCAGTATACAGAAAATATTAAAATTAATTAAACAAACTACTCACAAGCTAAACTTTTGAATTTTTATTTGCTGCATATTCTCTACAAATTTCTAATGTTAGATTTTGTTTACTTTATTTGAATGCTTTGTTGTAAAAAAAAGTGTTTTTCAGGGCGCTCTTGTTATTTCGAGATAAGTTTTTATTCTTCCAGTATCTATAAGAAATTTTCTATTTAAACTTTGAAAGTGGTGCGGTGCCGCGAGCCAACGCGCGCAATTTTCTTGCGAGACCATTTCATTTGCAAATGCTGAGCGGCGGGCGCGGCCGCGACGGGGGAGACGGCGAGGGGCGGGACGGCGCTCCGGCACAAGCGCGCGCCGGTTGAAGGACAAAAATCCTAATTGTTCGCAGGAGGCGGCAACATCGTAAAAACAGAAAGCAGAACGGAGCCCGCGGCGAAATATTCCGCAAAATAATTCTAGGGACGGTCCGCAGCTTGGTCGCGAGGCGCGGCGTTGTCGTCGGCGTGGCGAGCACGGCGGCGGGCCGGGGCGGGGCGGCGCGGGGGCTGGGTCGGGGAAGGGGAGAGGAGTTGAGGGGTGGTGGCGGTGTCGAGTGTGAAGGCGGGGAGTGCGCGTAAACGCCGCCCTGGCGCCGGGTTAACGCCGGCTGCCTCCTGGAAACGCGCGGCTCGCTTTACGACTGCTTGAGCGGGGAGGGCGCGCGCCTCCCCGCTCCCCTTCCTCTCCCCGGTCCCTTCCGGCTGGTCCCCTCCCCTCCCCGCCGCCCCGCGCAATCCTTCCTACCCTCGTCCCCCTGGACACGCGGTGACCAGCGAAACATAGATAAAAGGCCTTGGCGGCGGGCAAAGAAATAAGGAAGAAAAAGCCTCGGCGGGGGCGGCAGGGCTACGAGGTTATACGTCTCACGTATTACGTGTTTTTAGCTGTAATGGAGGGCGCGGACGGCGAGCCGGTGTGAAAATGGCAGGGTTGTATCTCGCCGTCGGGAACAGAAAGGATTTGGGGCGTAAACGTCAGGGGTAGAAATATTCTTTTCTTGTGCGCTAGGCACTCTCCTTTTTCGGCGCCCAGGGATATCCAGAGCGACATATTTCCTGAAGGATTGTTCTGATTCCGGGTGAAAGGGAGCGCGCGAAGCGTAAAGACGCACGGCCTCCGCGCGGCACAAAGGGCTTTTCCGGACGAAAGGGATAGTGCCGGGCCGTCCCGCTGAGTGCCCGAATCGAAGCGTCGTTTTACAGTGGTCTCCGCAGCGGCCGAGGGCCCAACCCTTCGGGGCCCTTGGAGAAAGGGAAAGGGCGCGTGAGGCCGCTGACCTTACACCTGGCCGCGGTGCGCGCAACCGACGCAACCCTCTCCTCTTTCAAAGAATTCCCTTCGTATCTTCCCTTTTGAACCAACAATACACTCTAGTATACAGCGTGTAGCGCAATATATATTCCCTGAATTTAATATTAAAACCTTCTTGAAATTGAACACCTATGTGAATTCAATATTTTTTGGGAAAGAAGTAATAATTGATTTTCTTTAGCTCGTCTTTAATATTTTGTCAAAGTTCAGAGTTGCAGCCACAATAAAAAAAAAAAATGATGTAATAGTAACGTCTTACTTAGGTCCCAACAGATTTAGCGAGAAGGTTTATACAATTTCGTAGGAGGAAACATCGGCATCGTATAAAGGTACAGTTGTTTTTTGCATCATCAACACAGTATTCCAACTGAATAAATAGTGACATACATGCTAAACAAAACATTCAAGTATTTTTGAATTTCAGCATCCTAACGTTTGTACTTCTACCAATTTGAGTTCCATTCAAGACGTTCTTAATTAATCTAAGGGTTGTATCACGTTTTAAAAATAATGGCCTTCTAATAAGAAATATTATTTCACAATTGGCTTGTGTGTATTGTAAGGCCCATGTGTCACCACCTTGGCTTCTTGCCTCATGCTATGAACAATTTTAATTATTATAAACGTATATTGCGCAGAAACAACTTGGCATCGTTGAAGCAAGTTACACCGCGCATCATATTTCCCCCGTAAATGCAAATGCTCACGCTCAAAAACTCATATTTGCCGATCTCAACCATCACTTCGGATGATGATTATAATTTTTTTATGATTCGTAAACAGTACGAAATTAATAAATATCGTGGTTTCTTGTGGTAATTTATTGTTACATGTTTTGAAACTTGTGATTGATTACAATTTTATTTTAAAAAAATGTTATTTTCTTGCCAGATACGTTTATTGCTTAAATTTATTTTTATTTATTTACTTTTAACGAAACGTGTTATAGAAAATTTCTACTCTGCAGTAGAGTGAGTGTTTCAAATTAGTATTCAAGCATTTGGTTTTATTAGTTAAAAAATCAGAGCGATAACTACGTCCTGGTAAAATTTTACTGCTAAAAAAACTGCCACATTTATGAAATGTTTATGTTCTTCAGTTTTCAAGAAGTGTTCTACGAAATTGTATTACTATGTCCTTTGATCAGCGATAAAATTAAAATATTCCAACCCTAATGTTGCGGGGAGCACGTCTAGAGATGATTATGATTTACTTACGAAATCCGTTCCTCCATCTAAAGAGGTTCATTCGAACAAATAGCCGGATACAATTTTTCAAGTTGCGACCAGCGCAACGCCCTCGCACGTCACTTCCGTTCTCTTTACGACATCCGCGCGCGCGCGCGTTTTAGACGACGCTGCCCGGTGGACTCCGCCCAGAGCGCTGCGCGCGGGGCCTCCACCTTCCACTCGCCCCTGCTTGCCTCGCCTCGCCCCGCCCCGCTCCGCCCCGCCCATGCGAGTGAGCGTGCCTCCCGTCTGAAGCGTCTGCGTGCACATTTCAACTTCTACTCCATCAAAACAATGGCGCACGAATGCGTGGTTATTTCAGCTGTTCAGCTTCAGCTGTTTTCTTCAACCTCATGACATTGACCCCACGACCAGTTCGAATTTTTTTATAGTACTAAATTGAGTCCTCTATCTTGTTCTTCCAATGAATAAAATGCATTATATTTAAAATATATTAAATTTGCAGTTATTTAACGCCATTATTTGTCACCGAATATTTTATTTTTCGTATCTATGAGAATATTAACATGTATCCAAAATCAAAAAATACTAAGTTTTTATGTTGGTGAAATACTAATACAACTTGAAAATTGATTAATTAATGAAGTAGACGATTTTTCACGTTTTTATTGACATTTACAATTAATTTAAGAACTAATTTTGATACGTACATATTATTAAATATTATTTATTATATTGTAGGTTCTTATTAACCTTTCAGTGTGTACACTTCAAAAACCGAAGCCACTATGTCTGAAATCGTCGTATGCCCATAACGTATGAAACTCAAATAAAATAATCTCCTCTGTTTCCGAAAAATATATGCGAGTGGCAAAACGTGAATATTTATCATCTCATTGCAAGATGCAGAATCATCATAGAAATAATCTTTAAACGCACAATGATCACCAAGCGATAATTTTTAATATTTGAATACACAAATACCAATTAATAACCAAGAAATATATTGATTTACTTCTAGAAAGGAGATTGTCCTAGTATGATGTGCATAGAAATTTCTGGAAAAACGTGTCTGTGTGTGTAGCTACAGATCCACTTCCGGTATGATGCCACTTACCGTCACTAGGTGGTGCGCTCGTCGTGATTTGACGTCATCGCCGGCCGGCCTCGTTTCCGTCCTTTGATCTTCGTCGAAATCCCCATCGCAATCACATTCACACAGTACCTCTCGTGGGCGCGTGGCGTTGCGTCGCTCGCTCGTTGGCCCTCGCCTTCGACTGGCGACCTCCTGCCCTTGGAGCTGGCAAGGGCGCCGGTGACCTCGAAGGGCTCGTGGCGGGGACCCCCTGGGCCGCGTGGCCTCCGAGGCCCGAGGCGCGCGCAGAGGTGAAATATGGCCGCCGCGCAACTGCTCCGACCTTCGACGCTGGCGAGGGGCGGGCGGCGAGACGGTGTGGGAGCGCAGACCGGGAGAAGTGTATAAAACGTCCGTGGTTCTACGATAAGTTCTAAAAAATTGCATTAATTCTTCACAGACATAATCTCGTTGATGGATAACATGGACGCGTATTATAATCTCGTAATATGCTGGAAATTCTCTGTTCTTTAGAAGAAATTGCTGAGACTCATGAGCAAGTACTTAAATCAAGTTTGTTCATTGACTTTTGTATCCTTAATTATTACCCAAGAGGCTGCTTGGCGGCAACACGCGGTGGCCACACGCACGTGTGTGCACTTCAGTTGTCTGCTGAAAACGGTTCTGGTTATTAGAGGAGCCTTCAGGAAGAGAGTTTTTGAGTTAAAAAAGGATTGATGTGTGCAAGAATTATTTTTAACTTGTTTATTAAATTACACTTCAGTTACGCTGGGTATAATTTTTGCTATAAATATGTGTAATGATTGTTATTTAGTACATGAAAAATATAAACACTTCATTAAAATAAACGATTATAGTTCAAGTTAACTTAATTTACAACCAAATTAAAATATAAATGAAATATTTTATATTATTACGTTGTAATGCTTACTTAATTAACTATGTATTTTATATCATATGCAGTACGAGAACTCAAAATATAGCTGAGACATATTAAACATAATTTTAATCACAAATATTGAGCATGAAGAATAATAAGAGTCGTAATATACATTGCTTACATACGTAAAATTATTTTTATTACATTTTAGCTATAGTATTAACTGACAAACACACACACACACACACACATTATATATACCTGAATGCACATACCTAAAAGGGTATTTTTATTCATTTATGAACAGCCCTTGAAAGAAAATACTCAAAGGGTTCGAAATTTTACACATTGATTTGTTTTTTTAAATATTGCTGTTTTATTAAAATAATTAAAATGAAATGAAATTTTAATTCGTTTGCTTATCTGTAGTACAAAAATGTAATATTGAATTTAGTACGTCCATCCCGTTAAACATTGTAATAAATTTCAAGGATTTATCTATAATGGCTGCAGAAATAGGCGCAAGTAAAATCTGCAATCGAGAATATGTGTTTAATGTTTCACGACTCAAATCCCCTCCAACCACAATTGAAATTTACTTCAATTTTAGGAAAACAATATTAATTATATTCCACTGTACCCAAAAATTAAATGTTACTAACTCTTCATGTAATTATTTCTTCTATATGTGGAGTGCTTTCACGAAGACAACGTGGAAGACGTTTTTAAAACAAGGCTATAGAAATAAACATGTATTGTAAAAAGGCATAGCTACCTTCAAAAAAATATAACAGATCAAAAAAAAATTATCAGAAAAAGCGTTTCTAATGTTATTTTAATTCTTAAGAATGGCAATTACAAATCATAAACGACAAAAAAAAACAACTATTTTTTAAAATCCGAAATGGTTGTAAGGGAGACCGGAACTGGTTAAGGATAGGAGTAGATTGGCAATCGTGTTCCTACGCCGGACACGTAATTTCCACAGCTCACAGCTTCGTTTCAGTGACGTTCAGGGCCGACCCAACGCTCTTTAGACGTCTCTATATAATCAGTGCAATGAAGGTGAATCCATGACGTCCAATGTGATTTAGAGTTAGGTATGAAGAATTTGTGTGGTACACTTATAGTGTTTTGAATATTGTGTGTAATGATGTATTTGGAAGGATAGGTTTTGCTTCGCTGTTTTTTTTATTTATTTTTTTACCAAACTCGTCAATCAAGATCTTGATTTTCGGTTTCATCGCCTCTTGTTTTATGTTCTCTTGTCGCATCTTCTACTTATTTAATCAGAATCCCGTTGGGGAGCGGTGGGCTCTTATCAGTTGGAATTGCTTGACAGAGCCCCATTCCGTCTGCCAATCATCTTCCCGAAATAAAACAATTATTTTTCTAAACTTTTTATACACTCCTAATACTTAACACTTTGATAATACACATTTACTATGTACATACCTGTAACAACAACAACAAAAGCCTGTTAAACAAATACTTACCTTTTCATGGTATTTCGAGTGAAGACAATGAGACTCGAAAAATTTGTGAATACTCGACGTGGTAAATAGAAAGCCATAATGCGAAGGAAAAATGAAGTAATTGGTTGGTTTGACTGAAAAACAAGGATGAAATTATGTATTCCTATTAAAATATAGTGGCTAAAAAATGTTCCTCCGTCCAATCTAGATTCCTAAAAAATAGACATCTTGCCCAAATTTGAGGGCTCTGATGACGTAACTCGGACTTTCTTTGACTTGTACTTAGTGGACAGAAAAGGGCTCTAGCTTTTTGTTGCCACTGGTGATGCTTAATTCTTTATTAAATTATTTATTAAAATTAAAGGTTTTTAATTTTTTTTAGCTTAATACTGCAACATTGCGCTTTATTTTAAGTAAACATTTACAAATTATTCGTTTTAACAAATTATTCGTTTTATTCTATTCTTGGAAGCAGTGTACCAAACTACCCAAGCTAAAAGTTTGTAGTTTTGGGATCATTCGCAATTTGCGATGCAGCCGCTGAGCTGATTAGTGGCACCCTGCACTTTGCACTTTGTTTACTTGGTGGTAACCAGTGTTCCATATACCTACATTGCAGTAAGTAACACGTAAAATGCTACTTTGTCATATGCATACCGCAAAGTAACACTTTTCAATCAATTAACAATGATATCTATCTTCCACGAATGAGTGCTAAAAATTGTTTACTATCAACGATTAGACAATCCCTATTCATACTTTAACTGGGTCACGAACTCCTCTTGAAATTAAACTCATGTTCTTTCATGCACCAAAAATTGATACAAGACTATTATATTTTTGTTCCACTTCTTAAAGATAATAAAAATTTCATAATCCACTTCATCATCCTGATTTTCATTGGTATCATTAACGAGTGCCTCATGAGGATAGTTTCCTTTACATTAACGTTTGTTTACCTGTCTACTTATACAGGCATGTGTTAAATGAAAAGTTTGAAATATACCTTAGCTGTTCAAATGTAAGAGTAATTTAACTGCAAATCAAATATCTGAATAGAGGTGTTAGTTTCACAAAGGGATGTTTCCTGATTTCCTCCTTTCAAAAATTATAATCGACTTGCAAAACTCAATTTTAAAGGTACGGGATTGAAAATATATCTCCTTGAGAATATGAAAAAATATTATAGAAGTTTGTATAAAATAATGTTCTTGAGTTGATAGTTAAAATAATTTCATGTCTTTATTGCGAATTACTTTCAATTTCATAAAAATTGTCAATAAAATTTCTATAGAACGAATGAAGTCATTTATTTCTAAAATATTTATGTATAAATTATACCTTAATCTTTGATTAATCTCCCCTAGTTAATGAATTTTGTGTATGTAAAGCAAGTTTGGATAATGTTAGAAATGCCGGGTTAATTTGCACTACAGCCAGGTTGTGTGGCTACTGTATTAATGACGACCAGTGGATCATTTCGGACTTAATCCGGCTAATGCTGGAATCAGCACTGACTAAAAATAAGTAATTGTTAATAAAAGAAAGAAAATCGTGAAAGCCAAATGTTTGAGCCTCGTGTTCAATTCGAAAATGCGTGACAAACTGTCAACTGAGATAATAGTGAGATTAGGTTTGGCGGTATCGTGTAACTAAGAGTGACACAGTGGAACTAGAAAGTACCTACCTTATCTCCTACTAGACTTAGGAAATTTCTATCAGCTGTCAGATTCGTTTATCACATACAGTGTGTAACAATCTTGTTTGTACACTTTGTTTTTGTAACTAGAAATCAATATTTTACTTTTTATATGCTTTGTCTAATCTTTGTTTTTTGTCTTCTTTATATAACTCTCAGGAAACAAAAACAACTAACAAACACTGAATTTGCTTCCAAATAAAAAAGCAAATAAATAATTTAACAAAAATATGGCTATTACCATGTAACAGTCTTATTTGAATACTATCAAAAATTAAAGAATATATTCAAGAATTCAGAAGAAAAAAATATATCATATCCTGATTCATAGCCTTTAGCTTTGAGAACTGCTTTGCGTCGTCTCAGAATTGAATGCACATCATATCATGAGTTTTTCCTCATTCTTCGGCCACAACATATTCTAATTGTTTCAATGACTGAGGTTTTCTTGTATGCACCCTTTTCTTCAATCAATCCATACAGGTTTGATTGTGTTCAGATCAGGAGATTGATGGAGAGTTTTCTATTGCTTTGGCATGTTCCATATAAACCACTGTTGCAGATATCAGCAGTGTGCTTGGGGTCATTATCCTTTTGAAAAATGTATCTTAGCACTAATTGCATTTTTTTACAATCTGCTTATCATTTTTCTTCACTACATCTAGGAATCCCCATTTGTTCATATTGCCATCAATGATCTATATAGTTTCAACCCCATTTTGCAACATGCACCCCGAAAACATCAGAGAACCTTCTTCATATTTTACAGTAGGCAGAGTACTGCAAGTTTCGTTGCTTTATTTCCCTTTCTCAATACCATTCGTCATCCATTAGAACCGCAAAGAGTTATTTTCGTTACATCCGGCCAAATATTATTCCTAAACGTCGTACCTTTATGTTCGTGCTCTCTGCAGAATTTAATTCTGGCAAGTCGACATTTTCTACTTTCAAATCGCCTCCTTAGTGCTCTTCTAAGATGATAGCGATGCTTTGACAAGAACCGTAATTTGCAGATAAATAGTAAAGAGGAGGATGCTGAAAATAACAAGAATGTAAAAAAAAAAAAAATTCTGAAATAACCTGTACTCATAAATATAGTCCAAGCCTGGGTTTCAAATCTTTATATGCGACATCTCCCGGATTAACTGCCCACATTGGATAATATAAATATTAATCGGCTAAATAGCGAAATGTTCACTTTACTGTAACGTATACATTTTCAAAATAAATTATATTTAACTGTAATTTGAACATTCACTCTCTTTAATGAAAGTTATTAAATATGTAAGTAGAGCGTACAACGCTGTCGGATGGGAGTATTACTGAATAACGTGGAAACATGCTCCGAGATGAAGAATTTATAACATTTTTTTTCGGTTTCAATCTCACTCTTATTGTAATCTGTGGTATTACAGTATTTCTGGGAAGTGAAGAAACAACTGCTCACACTAAATAGAACACCGACAGTACTCGCATATTTAGTGAACGAACCAAATTAGTCGAACGGCGACGACTGACTGTTGACAGACACCACTCAAATACTAATGGGAATCATCTCGCTATATTGTTTTAGAAATGTATTCACAGTAAAGAAAGGCAAAATAATTATTTTTGCTATATTTTCGAATTCCTTGTATAAAATTTATAAATTAAATTGTTAAATTACGTTTTGTAGTTAAGTCTAAGTAAAGATACGCCAAGGAACGTATTATGAAAATTGATACTTATTGTGACCAATAAATCGAAACCCACTGTGCCAAGTATCTTTCGAGTGACAATAAAGTAGCTTCCGGAATCGCTCCTCGCTTCCTGAGTAGCTGTCGCACAGCGAAGCTGCGCGCTGCGAGCCGAGGCCCGATTTTTACGAGATCGGCGGCGATTACGCGTGCTGTTGCGTGGCGATGCGTAAACGTCGCCTGCTGTGGGGGCGGAGAGGGGCGGAGAGACGGGCGGGGGCGGAGTGAGCGACCCGTCGGTCGCTAACGGCGAGTTAAACAAGGCCATCTTCGCTTAACGGCGGCGGGAACGCGCGCTAGCGCCATCGTGGGCTCGCGGGGCCGGCGCCGACGGCGGCGGTGGAGGAGGAGGGGAAGGGGGAGGGGGAGGAGGAGAAGGCAGAGAAGGAGGAGGGTCATAAACAGTGGTTTTTATTGGGCCATCTAAAGAGCGTATGTGAGGCGCCGGCTCGCGAGGGACCGTTGCAGTAAACCCAATCGAGCGCATAGAATAAAACGAGTTCACTGCTACTTTTTTTACGGGAAGATACTATACTAACTACGACTACTACGAGGACGTCCCCGCAAAACGGCGTGGGGGTGGGACGGGAGAGGGCGGGGTCGGGGGCGGGGGCGTCGGGTGTTGTGTGGCCTTCCGTCGCTCCCTCGTCAGCTGACGCGTCGTGGCCTGAGTTTTATGCTGAGTAGCCTGCGTTCCTTTTGCTTTCGGTTTCTGAGGGTTGTTGCTCTGGCTGTGTTGTCACGTGCTGTTCGCTCAGGCGCGCTCCTGCCGCTTGTCAACTTAGCCCTTTAGTTAGGAGTGATTTTTTTGTAATGTTGCAGATTTCAATAGTATTTTCTTATCAGTGTTTTTGTGTCTGTATTCCGACGTTTGATAGTGTCGAAAAGTAAGTACCTTACATCTTGTGTGCATTGATACGAGTTTCTGAAATTTAGGGTCGTAGAGTTGAACTTTGAGTCTGTGTGTATCACAAAATAATACTGATAGTCCAATAAAAACGTATAAGTAATCTGTTCATTGAAGATTTTGCGTGTACAAAAGAATTATTGACATGCTTTCTTCGTCTGATTCATTTTCGTGGTGTGACAATTGTGTGGATGTCATGCAAGGTATATGGACATTTTCTTCCTTTCTTCTAGGAGCGAATATTCTTTCTTGTGCACATTATTGAATGAGTGCTGAATACTATTACACATGTGTATATTTACCTACCTGTGGTTAAAATGAATGTGGGAGAATAGAATGCGAGTTCATGAATACAATAGTCAATCATCGAGAAGTGTTGGGGAAAGTAGTCCTAATTTGTAATATCCTTATAACTGCCTACAAAAGAAATAACAGTCACTTGAGATACTTAACATCTACTTAGCACCGAATCGGCCGCTTAGGATCGAGTGCAGAATCTTGTGCATCATGAAAAAGGAATTCGCAGAACACAGTGTTGTGTCAGCATTCACGCATCAATATGATCGAATGAAAAATGTTTAATTATAAATTAACTCATAAAGAATGATAATTTTCCAGAGTACATTGTAGTTTGAAAAGAATAATTGCATTTTTGACAGTGATATATTGATTCAGGAACAGTAATTTTTCAGTTAAAAATACTGTGAGGAATTCTTTTTACTTTAAGAGACATATTTTGGTTCGTCGATTCAATTTTATTAGCTCTTACTCAGTTGTTGTTTAATACCCGAATTATATTAAACAAATTATATTCACTTTTAAAATACAACAATATTTCAATCTTTCAGGATATTTGAGTGGCCTGTGATTCAAATAGTGGTGTCTTTGGTTAATACGTTTTGATGTACTTTGTGACGTATTTCTGTTCTCCTCTTAGAGTAGTGAAATTCTAAACACTTTTCCTGGCCTGCAGCCGCATGCTGCAGATGCCCCTATGGACAGCGCACTCCACGCCGAATGAGCACCACCTGAAGAGCGTTCGGAGCGGCTTCGAACCGGGGACCGCGTCGGTGGGCGTGGCGCTGCGGGTCGCGCATGAATGGCACCGGGGGGCTGCTTACGCACGCGGGCGGGCGGGGTGACGTCACGGGGGCCGAGGTGGGCGGGCGCGGGGGCGACGCGGGGGCCCGGGCGGGGTAATAAAAGGCGTATTAAAGACGTCGCCGCCGCCGCTTTACGAGGGGCGGTAGCGGCGGCGTCCTTGACCTGCAGCGCGACCGCGAGGCGCCGCCAGTCAGCGGGGCGCCGACGCCGCTGCTTTTTTAGCTGCAGGGGGGGGGGCACCGACGCTGGCGGAATACACCCTTTCAATGGCGAAGGAGTTGACAACTAACAAGGGGATGATATTGGCACATTCATTTTCAATACCCAAAGATTTTATTGATAAATTTACCATCAAAATATATTAAGTACCCACCCAAATATTTTATTGATAAAATAAGTCTCAAAATATTTTCGAAAATTAATTTTTTGTATTTCATATTACAAATTTTATTCTATATTTAGTTGAGCATCATTTTTGTGCTTTGTTGATGTGTGAGTGATATGAAAAATAGGTGTTGCTTGTCGGTGTTATATGTGTACATATGTGTGTGTGCGTTTTAGATCCATGTGTAGAATATTAACAGTACAATGAAAATAAATTATGGCTCAACAATAAAGTCATCATTAACAACAATTTACCACTGTAATGAGTTGAATACTCATGACTCTTCAAGGGACGAGAAAATATAGAAAATATTTTTCTCAACTGCTGCATTTTTTTCAATATGTATAAAATGTCTCTTTTTCAACAATCACGATTTTACTTCAAGAAATTTTTTTTCTTGTACTTTTGACTGTATCCTTTCATGTTGCAAGTCTTGTAACATCGTCAGCCCGAAGAATCATCAAGACATGGAACATTGAATTCGCGAAGACTGGAACGGGAAGGTGCGAAGGGCTAAGCAGAGGGGCAATGAAGACGCGACCGGGAGGGCGCTGGGTGCTCCGGGGGGCGCCTGGGGGCGCGTGCTTGGGTTCGTACGTGCGAGCGCCGCTTGCAGGACGCTGCCCGCGGGCGACCGCCGGCGCTCGGGTGTTTGTTGCGTCACATGGCCTCGACTGTTACGTATCAGACACTTGAGCGCCGTCGGGCACGCCGGCCTCCGCTGTGTAGCGCCGTCTTGATGCGCCCGCCCGCCCCGCCCCGCCTCGCCACGCCCCGCTCATCGCCCTTCGCCCACCGCCATGGCTTCGATCTAGGTCTCACCATGTGAAGACTTTCTAATGAAGTGTTGTGATAAACGCAAAAATGGCGAGGTTGGAGTACACAAACAATAAAGAAAAAAATCAAAAAGTATATTTTAACAACTTCTGAAACAACTGAGAGAAGGAGAACTTAGGAAAGGACTGGATTAGACTAGACTGGATCATTGTTTATTGATTGAAGTTCATAAAGTTTTCTATTGGACTTAGAAAGATTCTATCTTGAGTAGATTATTTCAATAGCAAGAACCCTCTCAAATTGAATTATGTTCCCCGATTGAAAATAACAATTCCGAACTGGAGAAATGATGTGAAGGGAATTTCCTCAGGCACAAGAGTTCATAACATTAATTGAGATTTGCATATTTCAGAATATATCCTCCTCCATTGCGAATGCGGTTCAGAGAACGTTTTAGGAAAGGGGTTTTAATTTTCTTCCAATCTCTGCTTCGCAAATTAAGGCCACTTACTCCAACACTTTCGTCCACTGGGAACTCGCTTCGTTCGCCGTCCCAGGGGAACTGGGTTAATTTGGAGGAGCACGTGGAAAAGTCGTACTCTGCCAGCGAGGAAGAAACAAGGCGCAAAAAAGGATAACGCTAGGCAAGTCTCGCTGCCAAATTACTGCGCTGCGCACGGAAGATAAAGGATTCAGACGAAGCCCGGCCGAATTGCCGCAGAGTTTCTAATTTACAAGCTGCGTTGGCTTAATTAGGAATGTGGCTGTCCAGAAGTAAGGAGCACCTTTTGTCTCTATCGATTGGGGGCAACGAAGATTTCCCTGGAAGATTTTTCCCCTGGAGTCACAATGTTTTTGAAGGAATTGAAGTATGAAACGATGTTAATTATCAAAGAATTAAAATATTATTTAATTTAAAATTACTCACTAATTTAACTTCACTATGAAACAATGATTTAACTTTCACAACTAAGTTCAAAATTCAATTGAAAGGCTTAAATGTTTAACTTGTTTGCTGACTCATACATTGTATGAACGTATTACTTCTCGTTCAATAAAAGGTAAGGACTGAATGTACGATTCCCTGAATCTTGAAAATAATCAAGAGTAAAAAGGATGTATTTTTGCGATTTCTTCGACGAAAGTTTATTGAAACCACTGAATACTCACCGTATAGGTCTTATCCGCAAAATGTTTTTCTCTCCTTCCACTTTGTTTTCAAATATGAAATCTTTGTTACATACTGTGCATCGGACGTGTCTAACAAAAAGGTTCTTCCTTAAGTTAATTTGATATTTGAGTTCATAAATGATACATTTTGTCTTTTAAAACAGAATAAAATCACAAATTTTTTGTACTGAATATTAACATTTCAGGTTGACTTATACTCTTTCTAAAGAAGTAAACAATTGGAACTACTTATGAGTTTTGAATACAGTTTCCCGAATTACGTGCTTAATTTTTCAATATTGTAAACATCAAAATGAGTTTTAATAATTACTTTAATGTCATTTCCATTAATACTTTTATGTCGTTCGTTAAACGCTAGGGAATTTGCGGTCAGTAAGGGGCTATTCGAATGAGACAAGTGTGGCAGTGGCTAGTTGAGGCAGCGCGCAGCCCTCGACCTGGCAGGCGCTCGCGACCACGCGGTGTCCGCGCCCGCGTCGCAGCGGCAGCAGCGTCGCGACACCGGCGGCGCCCATCTTCCCTCGCAGCAGTTGGCGCCCCGGCCGCTGGCAGCGCTGCCGCACGGACGGGCCCTATTGGTCGGTCCCCCCCTCGCGACAGGCCCCACTACTGCGATAAATTATGCGAACCCTGCTGGGACGCCAAGATGGCCGCCGCTGTTTACAATACCAGCCGACCAATCAGAAGCGCAGATCGGCCCAGCAGCCATAAAAGTTCTCTCAAACGCCTTTTGCGGCCATGCCTGAGCTTCTGTCTTTCGCCGCTTGGAGAGCTAGAGAGCCACAACTTTGAAAAGGATCTCGTTTTCGCGAAGTTCCAATTATTGAATGAAACTGTCGTTCTTTAAGTGCATAACTCGAACCCAGATATCTTCCTCTATCAGGTTATTTTTTCATGTAATATTCAAGGTAAGCACATCTTGGGAATTACTCCTATCAACAAAACCTCAACATTTTTGGCAGTGTTTAATCTTCGCGGCTTTCCAACCCCTAACACGGAATCCAACATGGCTTCCGCATAAATTGTACCCCCACCGTGCACCCTGCGGGTCCACCCCTAGTATTTTCCTTTCCCCTCCAGGCTGAAGTCGAATGGAAAAGGAGAGCCGCATCCTACAGAAACATTTTTCCTGGCAATGCGTATATTTAAATCAAATTGCAACCCCTGCCGTCCGCTGCGCAAGCAGCCAACATGAGCACCATAAAGCGCGGCAGTCTATCCCCATATGTCAGGCGCGTGGGCGGCGGCGCGCGTCGCCGCCCCGCGCTGCCGCCTCGCTTGTTAAATATTGCTCGCGCCGGACAAGCGTCGTAAATGCTTAATCGAAGCTGGTTTTGCATGCATATGTTGTACCGGCTGCATTAAACGAATGCAGCCAATCAAATCGCGTACGCGACGCTCGTAAAATTCGGCCGTGTTGACAACGCGCGCCGGAAATAAAGCTCGCAACGCCGCGGACGGCGGTGGCGCGCCGCCGTTGCGCCGGGGGCCGCCGCGCGTCGCTGGCTGCGCTCACGCCCGCGGCCCCGGGGGCGGGGGTGGCAGGGCGAGACGCATGCGAATATCAATCGTTTGCCCATTCACAGAATTGCCGCGCTGCTGTGTGTTGCGCTGCGGGAGGGCAGGGTTGAAGACGGCACTCTCATAAATAATGAATGCGATCGGTCTAGCGTGAATGCGTTACCAATTTGCTGTGTGTGGCAGCTGCGTGTTTTATGGCGGTTTGCGTTGTTGGTGTTCTCACGATGGGCATTGATGAGGTTTTATGGGAATGCCGGGCGATTCGTGGGAGAGAATAATAAATGCGATATTCGGACGGTGACAACTAGGCCTACGGTAGAGTTTCAGGCCAACTATCTCTGATGACATTTCCTAAGACATTCAGCCGTCGTAAAAAGTGATATACGGGAAACGTATTTATATTGCCAAACGCAAAGTATTATTGCTATAGTGTGTTCATTTTGCACGTTTCAAAAGGTAAGAAATAATCGATACACTATGAGTTGAAAATAAACAATTTTATTTTATTCTTACCTGTTCAAAGGCATACAGAAAAAAACTACATTAAGTATTTACTCTCATCTTATGTAAGCGCCCTTGTTCTCATTGAAATATGTCTAGTTGTTTTTGTATTGTTAATCTGTTTTACTAGTAAATAAATGTGTACGATCTTGTGAGTATATTTTTGTTGTATTCGGCATCTTCTTTTCTATTGTAAAGTACTTTGAAGATTGCAAAATTTTCAGTTGATTGTAAATCAGTACTGTTGACCTTAAATAGCGGCAAGTTTGACAAAGTACTAAACTTGCAAAGCTGATGGCTGCGATCAACAAATTATTTTAGATGAGTTTAAAGGATCTCACAAAAATATCTGCCTGACTTTCTGACGACCTGCTGGGTGCTTTGCAGAGAGGTTATTGACCACAGATGGGATGAAACGGAGAAAAGGTGCGCGTGACTGGTCACAAAGTTGTCCGCTTCTTGCGGCTCCGGTTTTACAACAAGAGGTTCCCATCATTCTGACCGCTGACTCTGAAGTGTGCTCCTGTGATCAAGGTTCAGTGGAATGTTTCCTTGGTTGTGGCTGGTAGGTTTTCGCCGTTACTCAGCATCTCTGCGATTTTTTTCGACAAAGTACTGCGAAGTGACGGTTACGTATGCAATGATTAGAGGTTTAAATTTGAAAGTAGATCCGAGGAATTAGGAAAGACACCTTAGAGACGATATTAAGGGACGTTGTCAGCGAGGATTACAGAGTTGAGTGTATTTTATTACCTTTCCAAAAGAGGATGCTAACCAAGAGATGTTAAAAAACTTAGCTGCAATATTACTCGGTATAGACTAAAGTCTACGTGGATCACATTACTTACCACTTGAAGATAAAATAAATACTGTGTTTAGAGGAAAAGGTCTTCAGTAACGATTAATTTCTTGTAGATCACCAAGTGACACAAAATATTAAAATACATGAAATCTCGTCTATCTCAAGCCCCATTTACTGTTTATTTTTACTTGTTACAAGCTAATTGTATTTTATTATGATTTATTCTAAGAACTGAATTATTTTCTACAAATTGAAGTTCAAACGTTTGGTTTTTTTATTTTTTTTTTTTAATTTTTCATTTCTTTGCCTCACATATAACAGTTTTACATGGGGCGTTGGTCCGTGCATCTCCAAGGACCTAAATCTGGGCGGCGACTGTCGCTTCCCGAGGGTAAAGGGTCTCTGACAAGTGCCTCGCGCATCGCCCGGCGGCCGCGCTGACCGTCCACGCGCGCGTGCGGTACGAGCTCGCTCACTTGCACGCTCGCACGAGCGCGCACGCCGCGTCGGCACGCGCGTGACAGTCGACCGCAGGGGTCGCCGCGACGCCCATCTCCACCGCTGCCTCCGCCTCCAACTCCTCCTGTCTCCGCCTCCCCTTCCACCTCCAACTCCAACTCTGCCTCCGCCTCCGCTTCTGCCGCCTCCGCCTCCTCCGCCTTCGCTTCCATCTTCGTCTCGTCCTCCCGCCGCCTCCTTCGCCTCCTCCTCCGTCGCTTCCTCTGCCCCCGCCGCATCCTCCGCCTCCGCCGCCTTCTCTGCCCCCGCCTCCTCCGCCGTCGCCTTCGCCTTCGCCGCAGCCTCCGCCTCCACCGCCTCCTGTGCCCCCGCCGCCGCCTCCGCCGTCGCCTCCGCCTTTGCCGCCGCGTCGCGCATATCAACGCGCTCGACGCGCGCGCCGCGGCCAGTGCGCGAGTTACGCACCCGCCACCCACGGCGCGCACGCCGCCGGCCGGCCATCCGGCTGAGCGCGCACTTTACAAAGGCTCA